CAGACTGAGATATTTAGCAAGTTGGTAAGACCCCGATGCAATATTTAAATTTTTTAAAAGGGTTGAGGACAAAGCTCAGTGCAAAGACCCTGGATTTAATCCTCAGAACACAAGAAGGAGAGGGGCTGGGGATGCAGTTTGGCACTAAAATGCTTGCCTCACACATCCGAGACCCTGGGGCCAATGCCAAGTACTGCAAGTATAAATATACTTTCCAATATGGATACTTCTATGAAGCAGAGAGAAAGTGCTAGAGTGTCTTTGGTCGGGGAGGATGGAAAGAGAGCCTTTAGCTGAGAGGATTATAGGGGACATCCGAGGAGAGGCTGTGAGAGGCCTAGGAGAAAAGCATTCCAGGTGCACCAGCTACAAACTGGGATGAACATAAACGCAAGGCAAAGGGACAGCCAGGAGGGTCAGAATAAGGTGGAAAGGGGAAGGAAAGGAGACAGAGGAGGACAGAAAGACAAGCAAGAGTAGATCGTGAAGAATCTGTGGACCACAAAAAAGACAGATCCTAGAGAATCACTTCAAATAGCCCCTAAAATGGTGACCTAAGGGTGGTGAAATCTGATACAGCAAGGAAGAGCTGGTCTTAGATAAAGAACTGCCTTCCTGAGGGATGACTTTCAAGCTTCCTCTTTCCTGAGCTACCCTGCCCGCCGGCCTCCACGCCTCCACTTTGAGCACACTGCAAATACTTGTGCGAGGCTCATGCTGCTAGAATGATCTAATTTTAACCACGGTTCTAAAGGAAGCAGTATTCAAACATGTGTCATTAGATCTTACCTTACTGGTTAACTTACTCGCTGTCATTGTTAAAGTTAAACCAGGATGTTGGACCCAGTGAGTTCCCAGCTTTTACTCAGATGATGGCAAGCCCTGGCTCTAACGTTTAAGTCATAGAAAATTTCAGTCTAGGTCATTTTTTGGAAACACTTTTTGGCACAAATGTTTAATTATTCTCACTGTTCTTACTTATGGCTACAGAGAAGAACCATAGAAGGGGCTCAGTAAATGTCTGGTTGAGTACAAATGTGTGATTTTACTGGATCTCTAAACACCCACGAGGCAGGTGTGGGGCCTACCTGGGAAGCTATCCCTCAGATGCCTTTGATGTTTCTATGGGAATAGAAAGCTTAAATCTCCGAGAAGGAAGGCTGTCTGCCTTTTTAAAATACCAAAAGAGACAGGCAGAAATGAAAACAAGCTCAGCAAGGATCAATGCTAAGGACCAAGTGTCAGAAAATTAGAAATCAGTTTCTAGGCTGGGGATTCAGAAGCAGGAATTTGGATTTTCTGAGTGAATTTAGCAGAAAAGATAACAAATACACAGACCCTAGGAAATGAAGACAGCACCAATAGAGTCCAGGCCGTGTAACTAGATTCTGGCAGTGCGGGGACTTCATCAAAGTAATGCTGCGGTGGCCACTTGGCTGGTCACTCGGTGACACTCCTTGCTGCACAGCCTTTGTCTCCTCCACCTGTCTCCCAGCGCACTCAAGCACCACTTACTCACCTCTAATTCTGCTGTTCTTTTCTAGTCCGTGTCCTACCTCATCTGTGGGGGCTCTCTATGTGCAAATGAAGTATTCTACGTTTGTAAATATGAGAAATATGTAATGCAAGTGTGTTTTCAAAAAATAAGTACAGCACATACACACACAGACCGCAGTCATCAGTGAGCTGGCCCTGATTCTCATGGAGGGGCACAGAAACCACAGGTGTGGCAGACCGGGCTCGCCGGGCGCAGCGCCGCACACGCACGCACGCACGCACGCACGCTGTTTACCAAGCACTCATCCGGAGCTCGTTAGCACGTCCAAAAGGATGTGCTGCCCCTCTGGGCTTACAGGTGGACTCAGAGTCAATAACCACAAGGGGAAAACCTAACATGTGGAACAGATGCCAGCCTTTTCAAAAGTTATAAATGTGACCAAATAGCTCTGTTAAAAACTTATTAGTAGGCATTAAACTTACTCCAGGATTCATAAATCTAGTAGTTAATCAGGAATAATGATCTGCCAAGCAAAAATGGGAAAAGTCGTTACTCCAACTAAAGCAACGGCTGTGTTCCTCTGGGGCTGGGACTGCTCATGGAAGCACATCATACGCTATTGCTCCTCTGAGTCTATCTTTGGTAAGATGTTCTTAAGTTTGCTTTTTATTCTTCAGATAGGTAGACAGATAGATAGATAGATGTCAATACCATGGTTTAATGCATTTTCTTAGTGATAAAATTAGCGTATGCCAAAAGACCCACATTTACAGTTTTTAACTACATCCAGACACTCAGTCTCAGCAACTGTTGTGAAAATGAGGTAAGGGAATGGTTTATCAGGTGGGTAGTGGACAGGGAGTCAAAGGGGAGAAAGACCTAGAGATTTCTCTATAGCCACAGAAATCAAAATACAGCTTACCCTGTCTTCTATAAAAGTGGGGCTGATTTTATTCTATGCCTTTAAGAGACACTGCTACCCTGAGTGCCGCCTCCGTGAGCCCTAAGGCTGCATGTTGGAGTGAGTCAGGGTGGGGGACCCAGGGCACGGCCAACCCTCCATCAGCGCAAGCTCCCTCTCCTCTTCTCCAGGGCTGCTCTTGAACCACATCAGGCCTGGGGAGTGGCATGGTTTTTCTCCATTTGCATGTAGTGCTTCTTTAAAATGTGGTAACATAGATGAGTAGGGATGTAGCTCAGTGGTAAAGTACTTGACCAGCATATGTGAGACCCTGAGTATGAGCCTTGGCACCACAAAAGAAAAAAGTTCCAAAAATGTGCTAACAGAAAAGATCCCAGCTTTTTTAAAGGCCTGTGCATAAAGGACCATTTCCCAGCACACCATTCTCCAGTAACGCATTCTTCACATGCATCTTTCTTTTACAGCAAAGTAGAGCATGCAAAAAAAAAAAAAAAAAATGAAGCAGGGTGTGGTGGCGCACGCTTGTAATCCCAGCACTCTGGAGGCTGAGTCAGGAGGTTCGTTGCAAGCTCAAGACCAGCCTGGGCCAGGGCGAGCTCAAGGCCGGCCTGAACTGCATAGTGAGACCCTGTCGCAAAAAGCCAAAAAGGAAAAAAAAAAAGATGATGTCATCAGGAGATACTGGTCCTGCTGCCAATTTCCAGCTGACCTCTGCGAATGGAACCTAGTCCTAGTCTATCACTCTATTTCTAAGTAGACAGAAGTATTCATAAGTGGTTACCTCCTTGCCGATGACAAAGGTCCAGCGAGTAATTGCTGGAGCAGTCAAAACAGATGGCTACACGGCCCCGCCCGCAAGGTATAACGAGAGAGTAGAGAAGTAACAAGAACAACACAAAAAAATGTCTACATAATAGAGCAAGATAATGAGGTTAAATGATTAATGCTGGATATTGTTCTCTTTTTGGGAACAGTATGACAGAATGAAAAGAGCAGGATTCTATCCTGTTTCCATTCTTTTAGGCTGCATGATCCTGAGCAGTTTCCCCCTTGTAAAATAGGGATAATGATACCTACACCTGCCAGGTACGAAGTAGACAAAAAAGTCAACTTGTACAACTGATGTCTCATCTAATACCTGACACACTGGGGCATTCTACAAATAGTAGCCTCCTGCGCCACACCCTTTCCTTTTCCCACTTTCTCACATCTGCTAAAACCCACAGCTCCTCTTCATCCATCTGGCCAAAATAACTTGTAAAACTTGACCTTGATATATCCGAACACCACTGACCTCCACAGAGCCACCCCCATAACTTCTCATGGTAACAGACCCTGGGGCTGAGTCAGCCTATCCAGCTTTCATTCTCTCCCCATCCAAAGGACACGCTTTCCCCGGGGGTTGCACAGCTTTGATGAAAAATCCATCATGGGAACAAGCAGTACGGGGAGAACATTTCACATGCTGTCCCAGGCATCAGAAAGTTGCTGTATCACAGCTTCAATTGCACAGTTGATGCTGCAGATATTTCAGAAGGGCTTTTGAACCAAATGTGGCTAAAAAAAAAAAAAAAAGCTGTACTGGACACATACCTTCCTCTAAGAAAACTGAATGCCACCATTAATCAGAAACCATGGCTAGGTGTGAGGCCACCTGCTAAAGCTCCAGTGAGGCCCCGTGGGCAGAAGGACAGCAAAAGAAGACCACGCTCTGCTCATGTCGGGAGCCGGGGGTGGGGACCAGAGAGAGGGAGAAGAGCCTTCATGAGGTAAAGCAGACAGCGCCAGGAACAAAATGCCTTTTCCTTCCTCCCAGTTCAGGTGGATTTTTATAAAATTTCGTGGTGTTAACTATTAGAGAGGATGTCACAGGTGTGTTCCTATTTTTCCTTTTCTTATTTAGATGATCACCAGGCAGAAATGGGTATAGTTAGAACACAAAGAACAAATATTGGAAATGGGTTTTAAAAAAAGAAAAGAGTTCTATAGCCAAACAGAGTTTTAAAAACTATATGTATATTATTTTCCTTTAAAATTTTCATGTCCTTGTATTTCCAAGTAATATCAAGAATCAATGAACTGAACTATGTACTTAACGTTCTCAAGGAATAGGTTATTCATTAATACCTATACTGAACTATACAGTACTTAAAACAATATATCATAGATCCTTTTTTTTTTTGGTGGTACCGGGAATCAAACTCATGACCTAGCACATGCAAGGCAGGCGCTGTGCCATTGAGCTATATCCCTGACACATATAGATTCTTAACTAGACCCTAATGATATCCCTGTCAGGTGGACTGGTGTCTCTGCTTTCATTTAATAGGCAAGGAAATTGAGACTAAAAAAATTATGTAATTTTTCCTGAATGTCTTATATCTAGTAAGAAAGAGTTAGGACTCAAACCAAGATGTCCTGATGATAAAGCCAGATCTGTTCTTCTCATATTAGGCTGCATCCTGGCAAGCTCCTCGATCTTTCTCTCCCTCTCTCTCTCCCTCTCTCTCTTCCTCTCTCTCTTTCTCTCTTTCTTTCTCTCTCTATTCACACACACCACACACACAAAACATTTCTTACCTTCCAGCTCTTCCTTCTCATAGTGAATGTTGAGGACTGTACTGGTCCCACCCTGATCCACCACAGCTTCTTCATCTGGTCTCTGTTTAAACACAAGTTAAGTAAGTAGGCACGGCAGTACACACCTTCATTCAAATACCTCAGTACCTTGTATACACGAGACCCTGTTGAGATACCTGGAAGGAAAGGAAGGGAATGTGATGGTGTTCATGTATTTTAAAACTTGAACTTCACAATAACTTTGAGACGCAAACATAGCAGCCACTTTCTCATTTTATAAATGAGCAGTCTGAGATGTAGAAAATATTAAATTACCATAGCCCAAGGTCACCCATGCATTAAAAGATAAAGCTAAGACTGAGCTCCGATCTTGTGACTGCAGATCCCACGTCTTTTCCATCTCTTTACTCCACCTATACATCTTTATAATGATTTGGCATTTTACAAATGCATCGCATTTAATATAAACTGGTCTTCTTGATCTCTGTCCAGTATTTGAATGTTTACTACATTGTCCTTGAAATTCTCCACCCTGCTCCTCTGATCAGTTCTCCTTTGTCACACCCTAAGGCTCATCTTCTTCTGCTAAGTTTATTCCCAAGGAAGAGCTCTCGGCCCTTCGTTTCCCTCTTGGATCTTACAAATTCCAACTGCAGCCTGCAACTGTGTGGCTCAGAACTCGATGAGGCCCTGGGATCCTGCACCTCAGAACCCATGCATCTAAAGTCAAACCTTCCTTCCGAAAACAGCACTCAGTCCTCTTTATTTATTCCTCTCCGTGGCACCATCATTTGTTAGCTCACATTTCAAATTTCAAATTTGTTTACCTAGCCATTCAATACATATTCAGTGCTTACCGTATGCTCTCAGGGAACTAAGTCCCTTTTATTATGAAGTGTTCCTTTGCAACTGATGTCAGACTCACTCCTGTCTCTCTCCACCTCACCTCACACTCTTCAGTCTCTTAAATTACACAGGCATTTTTTAGCTCTGGAACCACCTTCTCCAGTGAGTGCTGCCTTCTCTGTCGAGACTCCAAGTCTCTCCCCGCAGCTCCCACGTCACTACTGGCAGCTACTACCATGTTATTCACCATCTCTTAGATCTCCACCCACGTGCATTTCCCTGGATGACTTTCCTGACTGACCCCCACTTCTGAACTAAGCTAGGTCTTGGCGTTTATATGCCCTCACAGCACACTCAATTCTCCTGAGGAACGAAACGTCTTCCTGCTCCCTGAAGTAAGGACTGTATCTGTCTTCCCCAACACTGTTGAGTTTCTCAGGACTCAGCCTACATTTTTCACATAGTAGATACTCAGTAAATCTTTGTTAAAAGAATGAATATAGTCAGGCATGGTGAGGCATGCCTGTAATTTTAGCAATTGAGAGGCTGAGGGAGGAGGATCACTGGGAGCTCAAGGTCAGCTTGGGCTTGTGTGAGCTTGAACTCACACAGTGAGTTCAAGAGCTCTTCCTTGGGAATAAACTTAGGAGAAGAAGATGAGCCTTAGGGTGTGACAAAGGAGAACTGATCAGAGGAGCAGGGTGGAGAATTTCAAGGACAATGTAGTAAACATTCAAATACGGGACAGAGATCAGGAAGACCAGTTTATATTAAATGCGATGCATTTGTAAAATGCCAAATCATTATAAAGATGTATAGGTGGAGTAAAGAGATGGAAAAGACATGGGATCTGCAGTCACAAGATCGGAGGCCAGCCTAAACTACACAGTGAAACCCTGTCTCGAAAAACAAAACAAAAAAAGAATGACTATATTATCATCTGCCTTATCAATATTCTCACAAAACTCTTGGAAATGTTATTTTGCATATATTATAAAATAATATTCAAAATCTTCAAATGTACTTTAACATGAGTGTCCTCCTCAGCACCATAGGAACTTTGATTTAGTTGCACAGTTTTCCAGAACATATCAATTTCATTTCTAGCAAAGTTGCAAAGCTTCTCACAGTCTCCCTCCCCTCAAAGAATAATTTTATTTTGTCTCTTTTCCAAAGAATTTTATTTTTTTGATAGGTTTTCCCTAAGTAGTTCAGGCTGGCCTTGAACTCACTATGTAACACAGGTTGGCCTCAAACTCACTGCAGTCCTCTGGTCTCACCCTCCTGAGTGTGGAGTGCTTGTGTGCCACCATGCCACGCCCTGGGCAATAATTTTTTAACTGGAAAAAAGCTTGGCTTTATTTTGGGTTTATTATTTGCTTACCTAGCTTATCTTCAGATCATGAAGTCCCTGACAGCAGGAACCACACATTTTTCACCCTTACATTTTCTGAGAGCCCAATACAGTAGCTTACACTCCTGCAAGATCCAGGAGGTTGGGTACTGTGTCTTATGTTCACCACTTTGTATCTGGCACCCTTTATAATGTCCAGCTCATGTTAAATATCTAGCAAATTTCAACAAATATTTATTAGTTTTATGAATTCTTTAATTTTTACATATATTTTCTCATAAAACTACCTATATGAATTATTTTACCTATACAAATAATTATTCATGCTGGCTTCACCACTGGTTTTTAACATCCAAGGACAGAGATCAATTAATGATAATACTTGGTAGCGTCCACAGACAGCTGACACAGCATAGAACACAATGAGAATCTGGAGGGAAGAAGGAAGAGATCATTGGTTTCTTGACTCTAAGATTATAAAATCAAATATGAAGAGCAAAGTCAAGCACCTGAAAAATTCAGGTTGGAAAACTGACTTCTTGTTTGTGTCCTTATTTTAGATTGGTTAGCCACAGCCTAACTTCAGTGAGTAAATGTTCATCTACTTTCTTTATCTCACTAAACAAATTAGGGCCACTGTCAGTAACCACTAGCCAAAGCATTTGAAAAGCCAAGCTTGACTTTGCGGATCCTTTTCAAATAAATCAAGTATGCAAGAAATATAGATAAAAGAATAATTACAAGACACTCATAGAAATTTAATTAACTGGCTGGCTATTTGATTACACTAAGTAATTATTGCTATTTTTAAAGTATGATAATAATTTTGTGAAATGATACTATCATTTTTAAAAGAGTCTTAATCTTTAGTGATGCACATTGAAGGTTTTACAGATGAAGGTTTTACAGATGAAGGTGTTTGGAGAATGGCTGGGGAATAGATGAAATAAGATGGTGTATTCACTGTTGAAGCCAAATCACGGTGATTCATTATGCAAATCTCTTTAATATATACTTGAAATGTTCCATAAATTTCAGGCATATACAAAGTTTGTTTGAATTCATTAAAAATGAAAAGGAAGGAATATTGGGACTCTTTGGTCTGTGTTTGCAGATTCCTTACCAGTTGGCTATTATTTCCTCTAATACCTTCACTGTTTGTGGCACAGATTTCTCAACCTATGGTCCATGAATTTCTAGGGTATCTATGAATGGGCTTCAGAAAATCCGTGGTAATATGTGTGAATGTACACGGGGGTGGGTTAGAAGGTCCATAACTTTCACAATAGTCTCTGAATGACGTGTGGCTCAGAAAAGATTAGAAATCATGAGAATCACACTATACAAGCTTAGGAGAAGAAGGGAAGGGAAGGGAAGGGAAGGGAA